CTTACAACCTTTCATTTAGCGACCCTCACGGTCATGTGATCGAAATACTGATGCTTGGCAACTGGCAGGTATTTATAACGGTTGCACCATACCTTATGCAACCTTCTGGCAGGCAATGTCAATGGGGAAAACGAGATTCATTTAACAACTGGGTTACTATTGTCAGATTTCCTAAAAATGCCCTAATTGATTCCTAAGTATCGAGTCAAGTTTTCAATACCAGTCATTTATTAGAAGCACCACTAGGCAAGATCTGTTCGCAGTCAAGCCTCTGCTTTCTTTGATTTATCTCTGAACTTTACCCCTGTTCCTTCCTTCCCCCCAGTCTGTGTCATAAATCACATTACCCTATAAGATGCACCCCTCCCAAACCGGCTGTAGTAATTTGAGATCTGACTCCGCCGACAGCATGCGTGGAATCCCCACCCATTCTGTCCCCATGACAACACTGAGAGTTGACAACTATCTTAACAAGTGTTAGTGATTCATGTTTAACAGCTCTGGCAAGAAAGGTCATTACACTTCACAACTCTCTTGCTTAGCAACCTAAATGTTGGCCTCAATTGTGGTCATAAGTCAAGGACTACCTGTAATAAAACCACAAAGATAAAAACATCTCTCTTAGGTTTCTGGGGGTTATTACCTGGAAGTGGCACCACGTTGTCCAAAAGAACCTCAGCTCCTTGGAACGGCAGGGTTACAAAGTCAGACCTTTAAAGTAAAAAAAAGGAGATAATAAGGAAATGAATTAAAAGAACATAGAAATTGTCTAGGTTTACAATCTGAGACCCAAACCCTCCTTTTCTAGCCCCTTTGGGGGGGGGGAATGAGAATATTTTTGGCAGCAAGCTACTGGGCTTAGATCAGAGTCCCCCCAGATGATTAATACTGATCCCTCAAAGCCCAATTGGACTATCCCAGGAGTCAATGTTATTTCTGCCAGAAGTCCCCCATTTAGAAACTCAATTGAACCCAGAATTTTGCTCTCCATTGCAGTCGTTAAGCAAGCCATCACGTGACCTGACTCAACTTTACAACTGTTTTTACAGTGGTTGTTAAGTGAGTCATTGCAGTCATTAAGGGGATCGTGTGGTTGTTAAGCAAACCATGTGATTGTTAAGTAAAACCAGCATAATCTGTGACCAGCTCTTGGTTCAAAGCGGCCTTACACAGAGTCCCCTGACTACTTATGGCTGGCTCTGGGTGTGTGTAAGGTAAGGTAAAGGTTTCCCTCGCACGTTATGTGCTAGTCGTTCCCAACTCTAGGGGGCGGTGCTCATCTCCGTTTCAAAGTCGAAGAGCCAGCGCTGTCCGAAGACGTCTCCATGGTCATGTGGCCAGCATGACTAAACACCGAAGGCGCACGGAACACTATTACCTTCCCACCAAAGGTGGTCCCTATTTTTCTACTTGCATTTTTGTGTGCTTTCGAACTGCTAGGTTGGCAGAAACTGGGACAAGTAAAAAGAGCTCACTCCGTTATGTGACACTAGGGATTCAAACCGCCGAACCTTAGACAAGCTCAGTGTCTTAGACACTGAGAACTGCATCCCTTTGTGCGTCTGTGTGGCTGCCCAACTTAAGAATTTCTTGTATTGTACAAAAAGATCTTTATTTCTAATACAGCAATATAACAGAATTTTGAAAGTCAGCCAAACGGTTTTCAAGATCAACTTACACCGTATAGCATGACTAAGCTAGAGTTTATTTATTTAGCTGTTTATTTTTTTTCGTCCAAGATCAAGTCACAGAATTTAAAAACATGGCACACCATTCATACATACAGTTGTAAGAATACATACAGGTATCCCTCACTTAACAACCACAATAGGGAGCAGCAATGATGTTGCTAAGCAATATGGCCATTAAAAAGAGACACCGGGTAACCATGGCTCGCAATTTTATTGCTGGCTTCTCCATTGACTTTGCTTGTCGAGATACGGCTGTGAAGCATTGCAAATGGCGATCCCTCGAGCAGAGGGTGCTGGGAGTTATAAACGCCTGGTAATTGGGAACCCTCCAAATTTCAATCACATAATTGCAGGGATGGTTCAACCAAGCTACCCACCCAACGAAAGCCAATGTTTTAACCACTACACTGTGTTACAATCACCCTCTCCAGCTGATTCTTCCAGACCACTGATGTTCATCTATAGTTCAGGTTTGCCCCACATTGGCACTTTAAGACCTGTGGACTTCCACTCCCAGAATTCCCCAGCCAGCCATGCTGGCTGGAGAATTCTGGGAGTGGGAGTGGAAGTCTACAGGTCTTAAAGTGGCCAATGTTAGATAACCCTGTCCTGACCGGGGCTTCCTAATACAGTAAAAAGCAGACCCTTAGTCCCCAAAATCCTCTTTTTTATTTCAAAGGCTATGAATTATGTTCATTCACAGCTCGTAATGAGTCCCAAATAGTTTGTAAAGAGTCAGACAGGACAGTAGGCTGCCAAAGTCTTTTGGGATATGGCTGATAAGCACTCACTTTTATCTTCCTTGAAACGCTTCCAAAGATTTAATTGGCAATTTAGCTTGGCAAGGCCACACAGAGCGAAGAGTCAAAACGGAGCTTCAGAAGGTGAACTGGACAGCATGAACCAAATTGCTTCCTNAGAAGATGTTGGATAGCCATTTGTCTGAAATGGTATAGGGTTTCCTGCCTAGGCAGGGGGTTGGACTAGAAGACCTCCAAGGTCCCTTCCAGCTCTGCTATTGTATTTGTATTTATAATTTATTTATTTATTGTATTTAAGAAGCGCCCATCTCCCTCACCGAGGGACTCTGGGCGGTGCACAGTAAAATGTTAAAAGCAGAACAAACAGCACTTAAAATTTTAAAGAGGCAAGGAATGTTAAAAATTAATTGAAAGATGAAAAGGAGGGATTTCAGGGTGCTAACCAGTCCTATGACTGCATGCTCCTTGGTGCACCCCAAGCAAGGCTTCAGAGCCACATTTTGACTAGTTTTCGGAAGGCCGAAAGAGTGGGAACCCCCCTCGCCTCTAGAGAGAGTGAGTGTTCCACAAAGTGGGGGTAACAGCAGAGAAGGCTCACTTCCTGAACCCCGCCAGTCAAAATGCTTTAACTGATAGGGTCCACAACATACTTTTCCTGACTGACTGGGTGGAATGGATTGATGTAATGGATCCAAGATGGTTCATAGTCCATAGGTAACCATGTCACATAGGGATTTATAGGTCACAACCCCAGACCTTGAATTGAAGCCAGAATCAAACTGGCAGCCAACACAGCTCATACAGCAAAGGTGTTAAATGCACTTTTGGGCACCCAAGCTTGCCCACACGGCTAGTTGGGCAGTTGTACCAGTTGGAGCCTTCCAAATACTTTTCAAGGGTAGAACACATTCAAGGTAAAGGTTCCCCTCCCACAGATGTGCTAGTCATTCCCGATTCTAGGGGGCGGTGCTCATCTCTGTTTCAAAGCCGAAGAGCCAGTGCTGTCCAAAGACATCTCCGTGGTCATGAGGCCGGCATGACTCAAAGGCGCAAGGAACGCTGTTGCCTTCCCACCAAAGGTGGTCCCAATTTTTCTACTTGCGTTTTTACGTGCTTTTGAAATGCTAGGTTGGCAGAAACTGGGACAAGTAACGGGAGCTCACTCTGTTATGCGGTACTGGGGATTCGAACCACCAACCTTTCTGATCAACAAGCTCAGCGTCGTAGCCCCTGAGCTGCCGCATCCCTAGAGAGCACATTGCCATAGTCCAAATCGTAGTGTGTGAAGAATCGCTTATTTATTTATTTGTATTCTGCCTTTATTATTTTTACAAATATCTCAAGGCAGCAACCCAACACACCTTTCTCCTGTGTTCCTCCCAACAATGACTCTGCGTGGGGAGTTGGGCTCAGAGAGAGGGGGGGGGGGGACTGGACCCAGTCACCTCGCCAGCTTTCATGGCTAAAGTGGGACTAGAACTCATCATCTCCCACTTTCTAGTCTGGTGCCTTAACCACTTAAGACTCAGTTTGAAGTTTATAAAGTTTAGTCTACATCAGGAGTCTCCAACCTTGGCAACTTTAAGACTTGTGGACTTCAACTCCCAGAGTTCCTCAGAGTTTCTTCCGCAAAGCTGGCTGAGGAACTCTGGGAGTTGAAGTCCACAAGTCTTAAAGTTGCCAAGGTTGGAGACCCATAATGTAGACTTCAAATAAATTATAAACTTCAAACTGAGTTTGAAAAGCTAAGGGCAGGCTTAATGGCAAATGTTGTTGGAACATAAATAGAATAGAATAGAATAGAATAGAATTCTTTATTGGCCAAGCTCTGATCACTGAGAAATCAAAAAAATTGGAGTCTACAAAATTACCATTTCTTACTCATTTTGACATTCACTTTCTCCTCCCTCATTAATGGGAAGAAAAAGGATTTCTCACCACCAATGCTTTTCCCCAGGTTTAATCAAGTCAAAGGAGCTATAAGCAACCCACCAGATGTTACACTTACCTGTGCAAGTAAGGGTGTGCCCCTGGTCATTTCGCTAACAGCCGTGTCAGCTTCAGATGAAAAGTGATCATCATCTTTAACAGAAAAGAGGGGAGAGAAAGAATAATTATTCAAAACGGCTTATACTCCAAAAAATACGGTCTTCATCCCAAGTACATTTACACTCAGTTACTGATGAGTTACCATCACATTCAATAGACTCCTCTCAGCAAGGTACTGGCAGTCCTCGACTTACAACCTTTCATTTAGCGACCCTCACGGTCATGTGATCGAAATACTGATGCTTGGCAACTGGCAGGTATTTATAACGGTTGCACCATACCTTATGCAACCTTCTGGCAGGCAATGTCAATGGGGAAAACGAGATTCATTTAACAACTGGGTTACTATTGTCAGATTTCCTAAAAATGCCCTAATTGATTCCTAAGTATCGAGTCAAGTTTTCAATACCAGTCATTTATTAGAAGCACCACTAGGCAAGATCTGTTCGCAGTCAAGCCTCTGCTTTCTTTGATTTATCTCTGAACTTTACCCCTGTTCCTTCCTTCCCCCCAGTCTGTGTCATAAATCACATTACCCTATAAGA